GCCCGGGGCACCGGCTGGTCCAACCGGGAGGACACCGGTCGGGGGAGGGCTCCCCGGTCCATCCGGGGACCAGCCCTGTTAAAAAGTTTTTTTTGAACTTTTTCTCCACTTTTCTTCCTTTTTTCTTCTTTTTCTTTTTGATAAAACAGGTCTTTATGGCCCTGGCTCCATATCCATTCTGAGGAGCATCAGTCCGGTTCCTATTCCACCGGCAAGTCGAGAATACAGCAAGAACACCCTCACGCTTCCATCTGTTTGTGCGTTTTTGCCAGAGGACCCCTGACACTATTAATTGCTCCAGAAATCTGGAGGATTGACTGTCAGGTTGCCATCCCACTTCTTTTGCCTTTTTTCTTATTTCTAGTTTCCTGCAAGCTTCTTGAGTATTTATTTTAAAAAGGGCAACGGGGGTTGGGGTGCACAGAAGCAGCCCCCCCCTTGCTCAGGCGGCTAGTGCCACAAGGGTTAGGCTGACCCCCTTCTCTTATCTTTTCTCGTCCACTGCCTTTGTACAAACGTGCTTGACGTGGATAAGTAACCGGAATGGTGGCCCCCATAATAGAAGGGGCCTGTGTATTTTTGAAAAAAAAAACAAAAAAAAGAAGGGCAGCGGACTTGAGATATCATCATTGAAGCTGACCGGCCCCAGGTAATTCAGACATATGGTATTCCACACATCTGATTTTATGTGGATTTGAACTTGAGTCTGTATTTCAACAGTTTGTGGGTGTGCCAACTGAGCCAGGCTCGTTGTTACCAACGGTTTTACACAACTGAAGTTTCAAAATGTACCCACCAGATTCTCATGTGGAAGTTTTTAAGCCATCTGTCATTCTACTTCATACCACTTATGTTTATTTGTTTTTTCTGGTTTCAACCTTCAAGTCTTATTTTATTATTGGAGCTATGGTACTAAGTACTACTTACTAATTAGGGAGAGTGTCTTATTGGCCCCGCCCGAAGACTACCCCCAAACGCGGGGTTAGGGTTAGTGCCTTATTGGATTCCACCGGACGGTTGGTTGCCTCCAATTCAAAACATCTAAATCCACCAGACAGCTGAGCTTCTAGGAGAGGTCTAACGATACCCGATGGTTGAGATTTAAAGGGTGAGTCCATAGTGAGAAAAATAGATGGGTAACCAAACTGGTTAGATTAGCGTAGATAGGACTACCTTAGGAGCACTGTAACAGGGAAGGGTGGGTGGGAGCTATAATCGCATGTAGTAGAAACAGTGGCTTGCGCCTAAATTTTTTGCTGGATGGAACAGAAGGTTTTCCTTCATAGGCTAGTTCTGTGTGTGCCCTGCTGACTTTCCGTCCTCTATATTTGAGGCGTCCTGAGAACAAGTGTCTGGCGTCGCTTCCGATAGGCATGTAACATCAGGCAACCCTGGCAATAGGTCAAGACACAGTGAAGAAGACGGTGGTAAGAGCCTGGGTTCCCCTCCCTTGCCCCTTGCTATCCCCAGCTGAGGGCTAGGAGCCTAGGAGTTATGATCGCATGTAGTAGAAACAGTGGCTTGCGCCTAAAATTTTTGCTGGATGGAACAGAAGGAGTACCTTCTTCGCAGGCTAGTTCTGTGCGTCCCCTGCTGACTTGCCGTCCTCGATATTTTAGGCGTCCTGAGAATGAGCATCTGGCGTCGCTTCCGATAGGCACGTAACATCAGGCACCGCTAGCAATAGGTCAAGACGGCGGTAGGGGCCCGGGTTCCCCTCCCTTGCCCCCTGCTATCCCCAGCTGGGGGTTAGGAGGCTAGGTACTACTCCCTGGATAGAGTAGATTGGATAGACAACCCAGTCCCCTTGCCCAGGATATGTGGGTGGATAGCGTGAGGTATATAGGCAGCTAGCATGAGGTGAAAATTTGAGAGAAGAGTAGAGCTTAGTTTTAAAAAAGACGGTGTCCAGGAGAGGTAGAAATAGGGCCTCAGACATAATGACCACCAGGAATAACCAAATGGCTAGGTTCAGAGGGCTCTTCCAAAAGCCTGTGTCCAACCCGTCCGACAACCTGGGTGTTCTTTTTTTTTCTTTCTTCCCTAGAGAGTGGATTGAATTTCTCCAGGTGTTTTAACTGTGTTCTCCTTCGCATTCCTTCTACCTTTTCTACTTTTTGTGGTTTTCTGTTCGTTTTTGTCTTTTTTTCTGGTTTCCAGTGCTCGAGATGGAATTTTGTTCGTCCCAAAAATTTGTGGGATTTATGCAATCGAAGTTTTCTAAGTTTTTAAACCGCCACTACCTTTCCCACTCAACGTCGAGAATCGGAAATGTAACAGGGCCTCGCCACACCACTGTCGAAACGGGAAAAAGTACCCGCAGAGAATGGCAAGACGCATCCTTTACTATGAATAGCAACGGATGCATCTTACCACTTTCTGGGGAAGATGCATTCGTTCTCTTTTTGTTCCAACAGTGGTGTGGCGAGGCCCACTTTCTGGGCTCTTCGGATGAACAGTGCTACTGGATTACAATGGCTGGCGTCACCCCAGCCAAAAGAGGGGAAAAAACAAAGATGTTGCACTGGCGCTTCAGCAAAACTTGGCACACAGTTCTTTTCCACCTCAGCGAAAAGAGGCTTAGAGCCTCGTGCAGGAATATGAGCGAGAGCAATAGACAGAAATCCAAGTTGCAAAATCACAAAGTAGCCCAGATAGTCATGTACCAAGCAGAGAGCACAATGCACCAAGATTCCATCCAAATAAGAGCAATAGAATGAACTCGTATGCCAATGGTGACGCTCTCTGGTCACACCAACACAGTATCCAATGTTGCTCCTACTGGATGGCGCCCAGCACCCAGCCTACACCACTCAGCCTATCTATACCTATCTACGTTCATGCAACTGGATCACACTGAAGTCGAATAAAAATGCCAGCATACACCAGGTACTTCTCTTTCTCTCCTTATCACCCCTTGTCTCCCCACCTCATGCACCTCCTACCCGAAGACCGCCATCGCCATCACCTGCCTGCGCCCCAGCTGCCCGGCTATGACTGATGTGCGCCAGCTGCCTCAGCAGCGCCCCTCTCACCACTGCGCCCGTGTGTGCGACTGACCAGCAGCGCCCATGCAGACACTAGCACAGCAACACAGCAGCGTGTCCGCATTGCCTGCCAAGGCCAGAATGCCCTTCCTGGGCAGGGCACTTTCCTTTCACTTTCCTTTATGGAAAGTCCGGCCCTGTGTCTGGCTGTGTGGGCCTGGCCTGGGAAGTTTCCAGTAGCTTCCAGTCGGGCTCCAGTATCTGCACCCAGGCCCACCTCTGCTGTTACGGGCCTGGGCCCTTTACAGTTGGGCACGTCCAGGCAGCCGTCCAGGCTCCAAGTGTTTGCTGCTTTCTCATTGGCCCGTGGAGGGTGTGTGACGACAATGCTGCTTTCTCATTCGACCGCGGCCAGTGCATGATGTGTCGGCCTCCCAATGTGTTCGCCCAGGGCGCAGCCAACTGGGGTCCTGGGCTCAACTGTGCAGTGAATGTGTTGCTTCTGGAAAGAGCCAGCAAAGGCTCACGTTGCTTTGTAACCAACTTGCGTGCGGCAACTGTCTGATACCCCACATATGGAAAAATTTATAACAGAGGCCTCACATGGATATTCAGGCCCGCCTTCAGTTAGGGCGGGCACAATGCTTGCTGGGGCCAGAACACTTGCATGTCTGTAAGGGTCCCATGAGGGCTCAATCCTCGCACTCAGAGGAAGTGGTGGTTTATGAGCTGGAAAAGTAAGCGCTGAAATGCCATGTGAAATTTCTGCCTCTGGCATTGTTGCGTTTTCCTTTTTTCTTCTTTTCTAGTCTTCGTAGTTCAAAAAGTTATCTGTGGAATTTCTTTTCTCCCTCAATTTCACGTGATTGTTTTACACCTACTCGCATGAGGACTTAGGGCATACTCACACTAGGCCCTTAAAATCACAAAATTGCAAAATTAGTGGGCACATTGACTCCTTGCAACTGAAGGACTCGATCTGGCCGCTTATTTTATGTTTTTAACTTTTTGTGAAATTGTGATTTTGAGGGCCTACCATCTTCACCCAAAAATAACGTCCGGGTGTTGTATACGAATATAACACCCGCCCGGCGTCACATGTGGTTAACCAGGGGTGTTATTTTCGACGAATTTTGCACCGAATTGCACTGAAACTGTCATATTGTGCTGATTTTTTGCTTTTTTTTTTGTTTTTCTTTTTGTGTGATATATATGTGCTTTAGGGTACGTCATGTGTGCAGTTTTGACATGTTTGGATCAATAATGAAGAAGTTGGCATTTTGTTGAATTCGTTGGACGCTTCATTTTAACTCGGACAGTGTCTTTGTGTTAGGGTTTCATAGTGTTTTTTTTTTTTTTTTTTCAATTTTTTTTTGCCTGTTTCCTTGTTTGATGTTTGCACTATGGTCTCATATCGTTTGTTTTTAAAAATTTTGATGAAATTCGCACCGCAATTGCCAACGAAAACAGCGAATATTTGGACCCCCGTTAACCGTCTCTCAAAAAAAAAAAAAAATCTGTAAAAAAAAATTATCTTTAAGACCCTTGCGTAGCCAGGGCCTTCCAGAAATTCTCGGCCTTTCGGCCCCTGAGGGGGTTTGGAATGTAGTTTTCAACCAGCAATAGACGCGTCTCAGTTAGCCCTCATGGACTGCGTCATTGCCCCAAGCACAAGGATTTGTAAAAAAAATTCAAAAACATGTTGTCCAGAATTGCAATGCAACCATCTTTTGGCTGAGGGTCACTACAGAATTCCTTATAAACTCGGGGGAACAAAACAAAAGTCGAACCGAAATATGCCCCTTGAAAGTCAAAACCCCTTTCAACCTCCTTTAAAACCCATGTATATCCCCCTTCCCGCCCTTGTATACCACCTCTACAAGGCACTCTGCCCATGGAATTGCAATGCGACCATCTTTTGGCTGAGGGTCACTACAGAATTCCTTATAAACTCGGGGGAAGAAAACAAAAGTCAAACCGAAATACCCAAGAGCCTAGCTCAGTGGGTACACCCATGAACTGTTGAAATACAGACCTGTGTTCGAATCCAGATGATGGAACTTGACGAGTAAAACCAACTACTAATGAATTGCTTGGGGCCGGTCAGCTCAATGATAACATCTCAAGTCCGTCGCCCTTTTTTTTTTTTTTTTTTAAAAAAAAAAAGAAGTCGAACCGAAATATGCCCCTTGGAAGTCAAAACCCCTTTCAACCCCCTTTAAAACCCATGTATATCCCCCTTCCCGCCCTTGTATAGTACCACTACAAGGCACTCTGCCCGATGTGGTCTATTCGAATATAACACCCGGGGATTATATTGGAAGGGGCGCTCAAATATAACGCCCGGGCATCATATTGGATCTGGCCGCTGATTTTGCGATTCTGGGGATTTGAGGGCCAAGTGTGAGTCTGCGCTTAGTCAATTTGAACTCGTTAGTATTTTCTGTCAAAAAAAAAAAGGAAAGGGCAGGACTCCGCACAAGGACTTTTTCAGTCACCTGTGGATGTAAAAGCAGTCAGATACATCCAGTCCGGCCGAAATTGCAATCAGATGCATCCAGTGAAGTTCTAGTATGAGCATGCCCAGAGTGGTGCAAATGCGGGCAGTGAAATTTCAGGAAGGGGGTTTTGGCGGGTGGCATTGTTTTTCTTTTTTTCCTCTCTCCTGTACGAGTTTTTTTTTTTTTTTTTTCCCTTGCTTGTCTCTGTAGTTTTTTCCCTGGTTCTCAAGGTGGAATTTCGTTTTTCCACATTTCATGCGGCTCTTGGGATCGGTGCTTGTGTTTGGTCCAACATGTGGGGACCGCACGTTAGAGAGAGAGAGAGAGAGAGAGAGACCTTTCACATAAATCAGAAAAACCCTCCGGGTAATCCGAAAGCCCCTTGCAGATAATTAGCAAGGGTCTCCTCACCAAGCAAGAGACAGTCATCGCAGGGAAGCAGCAGGCCAACTATATCTGGTGTAGATTCAAATTCAGGTCTGTGCTTCAACAGGTATGGGACTAACTCAGCACGTGATTTTCAGGGCTTTGCTCCACTACTCACCAAATGTGCAAAAGTAGGACGAATCTTCTGCTAGAACATGGAACCATGTGTCGGCGTATGTTTTGTCTTTTGAGCAAGTGGTGACTAGGGGGGTGAGGCCCTTAGGGTCACTGCACGCAAAAAAAACAGAGCGCTACTGTAGTAAGTAGTAGTAACCCATAACTGCTGGAACACGGACCTGAATTCGATTCCACGACATATATTGCTGGCCTGCTCGTGTCCCACCCGAAATTCGATGAACATCTCTATTGGAAAAATGGGACCCTTGCTGATTCTCTGCTGGGGCCCTTCGGAAAAGAGACTGGATCCAGTGAGGACTACGATGTGGCCCCAATTTTTTTTTTCTGTGCAAGCATCACGTGTGCGAGTATGCGTGCGCGTGCGCTATGCGCCACACGTGGGATGATGAATCTGAAGTCTCCCTTGGAAAGAAAAGAAACAAAACGGATGGGCACCATCGCTGAAAAACGTTTTGCTGCTAGTGCAGAACTGTTCCTGCTAACTCATGCACTCCGGGCTCTTCTCTGTGTGGATTTGAACTCAGACCTGAGTCTTATCAGGCCAAAAGAAAAGAAAAGAAAAAAAAAGGCCAAACGCATGTGTTACTAACATTTTTTGCTGCTAATGCAGAAGTGTTCCTGCTGACTCACGCAGTGCCACCGCTCTGTATGTGATCCTGTAGGAGCACTTGAAAAGTTCAGGATTTTTCAGCAAGGCCCTGGATATTGTTCTTGATTTGAGGTACTTCTTCATGCACTACGCAGCCATCTACCGCCTGGACGTTGTTGGAGAGCGACGCAAAATCTGGGTACGTACGACCCTCGGCCATAACTAGTGCCCGCCACGTGTCCGCATGTGCACTTGACGCTGCCGCTCAGGTCAGTCATGTGGGTGCCCCTCTCTCTCTCTCTCTCTCTCTCTCTCTCTCTCTCACACACAGAGTCATGTGGGCGCCCGTCTCTCTCTCTCTCTCTCTCTCTCTCTCTCTCTCTCTCTCTCTCTCTCTCTCTC